GGATGGAGGGAAGAGAGGATGAGAGGATGGAGGGAAGAGAGGAGGAGAGGATGGAGGGATGAGAGGATGGAGGGAAGAGAGGAGGAGAGGATGGAGGGATGAGAGGATGGAGGGAAGAGGAGAGGATGGAGGGATGAGAGGAGAGGATAGAGGGAAGAGAGGAGGAGAGGTAAATGGTTGGATGGATGCAGATGCAGAGAAAACTCCAGAGGCACCAGAACCTCCTTGCTGTTCTGACCCGGCCCGGTTCGGTTCTCAGAACCTGCAGTCTGAGGCTGAGTCACCACCAGATTCTAGTTTTCTCTTTCTGCTCCGTTTGAGTTTGGACCTGACTGCTGAGTTCTGAGCAGAACTGGACTGACAGAACCACACTCCACCAGCAGAACTGAGCTTGTTCTGATTCTGTTCGACCCAGAAAAGAAGTTCTGTTGCAACGGCAGGACGCCGCAGAGCAGAGCACTGGCGCCCTCTGCTGGTCAAACTGAAAACCCACAGAAACCAGCAGAACCAGAAGTTATTGGTTCGGCCCGGATGCAGAACATCCTGGATCAGAATGGTTCTGATTCGTCCGGGTCACCTGAAGAACCCCTGAGCCACTCAGCGGCGGAAACACCCACTGCACCCAAACACATCGCTGAAACACAACTGGACCTCGGAACCGCTTTCCTCAGAAAACCGTTCTAGTTTCTAAGCAAATCTGTCCCATAAGTCAGCGGGACGTTTCAGGAGGAAAGGAGCTACACTGACCTTTGACCTGGACTCGGTGGCGCAGACAGAGGAAGCCTTCTTCAGGGAGGCCGGCCTGTCTTCGTCCTCTGGAGTCCTGAAGAAGAAACACGTCAGGTTTGAATCATGCAGATTATTACTGCAGTAATCTGATTACAAACATAAAAAATTACATCTTAAGTTTTTAATTTTTCCCATCAGCCACTTGAATTTCAGAGTGACAACCGTTTTTCAAGATGGCCACCATTTTTGATCTTTTAAAATAAATCATTACCATAAAATGTTCCCCGTTTTCATGACTTGGATGAACTTTATGCCACATCATGTTTTCTACTTTGGTCGTCCTGTTCATACAAATTTAAAGTGATAATATGCAGCAAAATCAGAAACTGAGCCACTTGTTAGCATTAGCTTCTAATTTCTTTGTTTAGCAGGTTAGCGATAGTTTCTGCTAATTTTTTTTAATGTATTAGGCCGTTTTGTTAGCTTTTGCACATTTTTTTGCTCTTAGCAGTTTAACGTTAGTTTCTGCATGCTTTTAGCAGTGTAGCATAGGTTCTGCAAATTTTTTTTTATTTATTGGGCAGTTCAATCTGAGCTTCTGGTAATTTTTGAATGTGTTTAGCGTTAGCTAATTTTAATCTTTTAAATGTTTTTAGCAGTTTAGTGTCAATTTCTTCTAATCCTTTTGTTTAGCAGTTTATTGATAGTTTTTGTTATTTTTGTGTTTTAAGCAGTTTTTTGTTAGCCGTTATATTTAGCTGTTGTGCTAATTTTTTAAAATATATTTAGCGGTTTAACGTCAGCTTCCTGTAATTTTTGTATGTGTTTAATGGATTAACTTTTGCTTATGCTAGTTGCTTATGTGTTTAGCTTTAGCTTATGCTAATGTTTTATGTGTTTAGTGGTTTAGCGTAGTAGAGCTGAGATTTGTGTTCAGTGGCTTACTGCTAAGTGAATCTAACTTTTTGGTTAGCTGTGGCTCATAACTACTGCTGAGTTTAATGCAAACATATATTCTCTGTTACAACCCTGGTGGCCATTTTGAAAAATGTCCACCAAAAAAAGGAAACACAAGATCAAGAATATGTATATGATTTCTATAGTTCAGAATGTGTAGTTTAACAAACACATTCACTTAATTAGTGAACATAGTAAAAACTATATATATATATATATATATATATAAATAATTTTCCATGACAACAAAGGCTGCCATTTAGAAAACTGAAAAAAGTCAATATAATTTTTATGAGTCCAATTATGTGTGATTTGACGTAAAAAGTATTCGTCTGTGATAAATATTGGAAAATTAAGTGCAAAAATAAATTTCCCTTGGTGACCATCTTGAAAAATGGCCTCCATCTTGAATTGTTTAGGTTTTTTCCTCTGGGAACATCTGTGCCAAGTCAGGTTCTTATTTCCAGGTGTGAAATATTTTGTCGAGATATTCAATCATCTGCTGCATTAAATCATCATGTGATCGTCAAACGGGAATCTTCTTCCAGGCCGAGTTCCTTCTCTGTCTGTAAGGCTGACCTTTGACCTCCGTTCACACCAAACAGGAAGTCTGATAAAAGCCCGACAGTTTATAGCTCAGCACACACCCAGCGGCGCAGCCTGTTTGCAGCGGCTGCAAAGGTGACGAGTGTTCAGGGCCGCATTCTGCAGCTGCAGCGAGTCCCTGGAGACCAGACGTCCCCACACGTCCCCACAGGTCCTCAGACGTCCACAAACGTCCCCACACGTCCCCACAGGTCCTCAGACGTCCACAAACGTCCTCACACGTCCTCAGATGTCCCCACACGTCCTCACACATCCTCAGACGTCCCCACACGTCCTCACACGTCCCCACACGTCCTCAGACGTCCCCAAACGTCCTCAGACGTCCCCACACGTCCCACACATCCCCACAGGTCCTCAGACGTCCTCAGACCTCCCCACATGTCCTCAGACGTCCCCACAGGTCCCCACAGGTCCCCACAGGTCCTCAGACGTCCCCACACGTCCCCACAGGCCCTCAGACGTCCCCACACGTCCTCAGACGTCCTCAGACCTCCCCACACGTCCTCAGACGTTCCCATAGGTCCCCATACGTCCTCAGACGTCCCCACACGTCCTCAGACGTCCCCACAGGTCCCCACTCGTCCTCAGACGTCCCCACACGTCTTCAGACGTCCCCACAGGTCCCCACACGTCCTCAGACGTCCCCACACATCCCCACACGTCCCCACGTCCTCCGATAGGACGAGTCGCAGATCCGTCGCTGCTGCTGAGTGTTTACATGCCAACAAGCAGGAAACCTGCAGACTTTCCATGTTTGAACTTCCAACAGCTGACTGTCGCAGAAAGAATGTGAGCAAGTGAAGGCCGTCCAACAGGAAGTGGCTGTGGAGAGAAAGTGTTTTCTCTGCAGGAGCGGTGAAATGTGACAACGCTAGAGCAGAAGCCAAACATCAGGGAGCCTTCGGATGACCTGAACATTCACCAAACGTCTCAGCATCGTTTTCTCTTCTTGTCTTGAAATATTTTCTGCTTCGTTTCATTCGGAGGCGCTGTGGTTTCCTTCCAGGATTAAAGTTTAATCACATCTGGCTGAAACAAAGCATGACACATTCAACACCGTGCTGCATCACAGCCGGATCGGATCACGCTGAATGTAGCAGACAGTGAGACGGTCTGCCAGGCGTCGTTTCGTAAAGTTCAGATTCTTTACGTTGACTCTCTTCCAAACACGACGCCATGAAAATCTGCTCTAAGGATTCATATTTGGGCTTTTTGTTTTTATTACATTGAATATAATTTCAGATTTTTGTCATTTTGTCTTTGTTGAATTAAAACATGAACTTTTAATGTTAAAGGTAAATATTCTAAGCAACAGACGATAAATGATTAGGAACCGAATAGAAACAGAAGGTCTGACAGCAGCAACAGACATAAAGTTCACATTAAAACTAAATAAAGAAATAATAATAATATAGCGTACAAGACAAAGGGAAAAAACTGCAGCTTTCATAGAAACAGTAATACTGGATGCAACAATATTAAAATTTGGACTGATATCGATCCATAAATGAAACTCGTTTCTGTTATTTTGTCTCTTCAGAAATACCCGACATGTTTCGACGCTTCGTCTTCATCGGAGGAACGACGACAAAGACGACGTAATTATTTCTATTAAATGTTTATTTCAGGAGATTTTAAAGTCAGTTTTGTGTTGACTTGTTTGTTTCTCTGTAACCACAGAGATGAACATTGAATACCTTCGTAAAGAATACGATTTATTTTAGGGTAAAATACCGGGTCCAATAAACCAGGATCCACCTGGTTAAAGGATCCGACACATGAAAGCTGCCAGAACCAGAACCAACTAAACCAACTGGACCAGAACAACATCAGGACAGAAAAACTCCAGGAGACTCAAACTGCAGCAGCCATGCAGCGGCTCTGATCTGATAACAGTGTTTGCGTCTCATCTCAGGTGTTGAAGGTCATAAAGTTAATGACCAACTGTTGTTCAGATTCCCAGCTTCAGCTTTAACTCATTAGATTCACAAGCTGGAAGCATTTTGGATCCAGTTGGTTCGTTTTGGATCCAGCTGGTTCGTTTTGGATCCAGTTGGTTCGTTTTGGATCCAGTTGGTTTGTTTTGGATCCAGTTGGTTCGTTTTGGATCCAGTTGGTTCGTTTTGGATCCAGCTGGTTCTGAAAACATTAAATAAGTGAAGAGATTTCCTTCAGAGATCCGTTTGGTTTTGGACCCGATTCAATCAGAGAAATCTTCCCTGGTTTCATTTAAAACCATAAATGTTCCTCAGGTTGATGCCTGACTGCAGGCCTTCATCGCCGCTGGGTGAGGATGATGAGGAGCTCTTTCTAAGGTCCGTTTGCGCGACACATTCCAGAGGACAGTGACTCACAGCTGACGGCAGAAGACAGAAACTGTGACGAAGCGATCCGGAGACAAAGACTCTCTTGTCTGCTGGTTAGCAGCTGGTTGTGAAAGCAGCAGGCATGCAGAGAGGCAGGTTCCTCCGTCAGGGCAGGGAACGGTCCGCACAGGAACGGCCCGCAGCATCACCCCGCCTGCATCCAGTCCGGCAGGCAAGGCCCAGGGCCAGGATTACAGCCGGGATTACAGCTAATCCTGCAGCTTAACCTCCAAGATCTGACTGTCAACAGATGAAATCTCTGCAGATCCGTAATTCATCAGAGAAAATTTCATAAACAAAATATAGATGCAGATCAGCTGAATCATAGAACCTCAACCTTTGTCTAGTTTTAGTGCAAATACCTTCTTAGACTTGAAACAAAACCAATTTACAAAAAACTTTTTAGTGAAATAGAGAAACTGATCTACAGCCAATTATTGAATATTGATAAAAGCACCATATCTGCTGTAGATTTTTGTGAAAAATATTTTGTTTTCCATGTTTATTTATTGTATCTTTTATCATGATAAGACTTGATTTATTGTTGCAATAAATTCCATATTTAAAAAAACCAAACTTTCCACATAGTGATGATCTAGTTTCAGTATTTTCTCCAGTGTTACATATTTCATGTTTATTGATGATTTGATGTTGGAAGTCGACAGAATATAATGTTTGTTTCTGGAATTTGTTTTTATGACTTTTTATTTTTGTTTTAATGATATAAATCACTTTGAACTGCTTTGCTGCTGAATTGTGCTCAGAAAATAAACTTTATATCAATAAAGGTGAAATCATCACTTTAGAGATACGAATAATAATTCTTTATGCGACAGATTTCCTAAAGAAACATTTTACAAATGGTTGTTTTTGTCAGCCATAACAAATCTGAAAGAGTAATAAACAGAATTGTTACGTCAATCATTTTATCACAATATTTTATTGTGATAAAATTTCCCTTCCCCGTTTTAACTTATTTTTTAGGAAGACATTTTTTGCACTAATTTTTCTCTGTAAGTTGGGTCCAGCTGAGCAAAGGTCATCTCCACTGACCGTTTCAGAACCGTTTGGAGTCCAAACTGCTCAGAACCTTTGGCGCCACACCCCTTCTGGACCTGGTACCATCTTAGAACTTTCCAGACCTCCAGAACCAGCTGAGGCAACCCGGCCGCTTCTGGAGCAGAACCAGGTCCATCCGCTCAGACTCCAAAAACGATCCAGATCTCTGTGCTGATTGGTTCTGGTTCTGCTGGACAAGCAGCCTCCAGCCTTACTGAGGTCCAAATCTGACCCAAACAGAGCCAGAACCGGAAGTAGCATCACAGCCGTCCTGTCAGCTACCTTATCACTTCCGGTCAAACTTAACGTGGCTAACAGGAGCAGCTGCTGACGTCATCAGCTTGCTTACAGGCGCTGGACCCGTCCGAGCCAACAGAACCTACCGGACCTCCTGCTGCCTCTCTGCCTCCATCTTCGTTTTCATCTTCAGCTTCGGGAACTTGAACTTCTTCCTGTCCTGCTGTTTCTGCGCAGAGTCGTCCGGACCCGGTTCGGTTCTGGAGAACAGAGTTCTCAGAGACTTCCTGGAGGACTTCTTCTTCTTCTCCTCCATGTCCGCTGCTTCAGGCTGCTGCTGCAGATGACAGCTGCTGCTGCTGCGGCTCTTTGAGCAGAACCGCAGCTCAGGTGCGGGCCACGCCCCCACCCGGAACCCCCCCCCCCTTCCTCCCTCACTCACAGACACACACACACACACACACACACCTGGCAGAGACAGCTGCAGTTGAAAAACCCGGATCTAGACCCGGGATCAGGATCTTCTGGTTCTGCAGCACCAACAGATTCTTCTCCATTTATTATCATATTCATTCATTTGAAAGGTTGCATAAACCCACCAATTAGAACCGCCGCAGACATGACGTCACCCTTGCTCTCCAGCTGCTGGTTTATCATGAAGATAAATATTAAAATAATTTTATCTTCTGTAAATGATAAACGAGTCTAACAGAAAAATGTTTTAGTTTCTGCTAACTGAATATGGGTCAGTATGGCAGGCCGATTTAACATAGAATCAACTTCACCACACTCCTATCTCTGAATCTGGTTTATGACTGTAAGTTAATTAATGTATTTCTAATTACATTTTAATTTATATAAATGACGTCAGATTTACGATTAGGTTTAAGTCAAGACATCTACACTAGCTTTTTCCTGTTTCACTGGTTTCTTTCCAGCTGGTTCCTGTCACTTTAAGCAGAAATTATTTATTCTGATTTTATCTCCTTAAGTCACTCCTACATTTAAAACTCTGATTTATCAGGCTCCCCACCGGAAACATCTTCTTGTCTCTAATTAATTAATTAATTCCTACAGCTGTTATTCGAGTTGGGTGGATCCACAGCGCCCTCTAGTGGTCACTCTGCAGTCTGCTGACTGGTCACACAGCGCCCTCTGTCGGCTGCTCTGTCCTCTCTCTGCAAAAGGCTGCAGTAACCCTTTTCCCCCTCAAGATGGCGCCTCCTTCCCGCTCAGGTCAGGAGGACCTTGACGCAGCCGCAGAGTGAACTCCCTCCTTACGACGCATGCGCACAGCACATAAATGGTAAAAATACCCGGTCAGTTCAGATTCGGTTTCCTTTCAATGAATCTCAGCAGAACCAAGGTCCAAATAGACCAGAACCGGTTCAGAGCAGAACCTTAAAGCTTTATGATTGAATTCATGATGATGTTTATTTATAATATTTATAAGTTCTGATGTTGGACCTGATATGATCCAATCAGAACCTTCTGTCCAACACCAGAGAACCGTTAAGATCCGGTGGTTCCGATTGTCCAGTCAGCTTTACAAGAAACCACCAGAACCAGAGCTGTTCATGGCTGAACACCAAATATTTATGACCCGGTCAAGAACTTCCAACAGAACCTTATGGGGCCCGTTTGGCCTGTTTCCGAACTATACAAATCCGTTTCTCACCTGTTTTGGACCTGGTTCTGACCCGGTTCTGACCTCTTTTTTTTTCTTCTTCTTTTTTTTTTTAGACCTATTCCAGAGCTGTTTATTCCCCATTTTGGACCTGGTTCTGAACTGTTTTTGACCCGGTTCGGACGTCTTTATAAAACCTGCTTTAGATCTCGTTCTTCCGTGTTTCGGAGCCAGTCTGGACTCGGTTCCGGACCGGTTCTGACTGACTTCAGGGACTCATCGGGTTTTTTCCTGCAGGTCGCGTTCAGGTGACTGAAACTTCCTGCTGCTTCCTGGTCAGGAGTTTGGACCTTCAGAACCAGCGGGGCAGTTTTATCATCCCTCATTAAACTGACCGGAGCTGCAGGTTCGTGTTTACAGCCAAACCTTTGGACCCGTCCGGAACCGCGCCCACTGGGAGCAGAAATCAGCTGCAGCGAGCCGAACATCTGATGGATCAGTTGATGCTGATTAACAGAAAAGTTAAACTGAAAGAGAACACACACACACACACACACACACACACACACACACACACACACACACACCGCGCCCATTATCAACCTCACATCTTTCTGTTGAAGTCAAACAGAAAGCAGCGTGAAGCTCTGAGGTTAAACTGATAGTTGGTGATTTTCCAACTGTGGCCTACTCCAAGTAACGAGTACAAAGACGCAGGAGGAGGCGGGGCTAATGCTCACCTGTGGACAGGTACATTCATGAGAAGCCTTCAAACTGACACATCAAACATTTTCTCTTTAATCTTTAAATCATCTTTTATTTTCCTAAATCTGAAGATTATCTGGAGGTTTTCTGCTGCAGTGACCAAATGAAAGTTTATAAAAACATAAAAAACCCAAAACATCCTGTGATATTAGGCTGTTTAAGTTCCTCTGCAGAAATCTGGGCCAACTGTTACAAAACTACATTGGAGGCATAAACATGATCATGAGAAAAATAATTTATTTAGGAAAAATCTAAATGATTAAAATTCATTAATGTAATGAAACAGACAGCTTTAAAATTTTACAAAACCAGAATTTTAGTAAATTAGTGAGTTACTGAGTTTAATTTATAAATTTAATCTGTTTAAAATCTGACATTTCTGAAAAAAGACTGTTTCATTTTGAGAGTTAAACTGGAATAATGTGAATAAAACTTCAAATTTTTATTTGAAGTTTAACATAATTATGAGTCTAATTATGTTAGACTCATAATTACTGCTGAGTCTAACATATTATTATTCAGCTATTATTATTCTAAGCTTAAAGAGGCAGTTGCTCAGGGCGACAGCTTTTGGGGTCACCCACAGATTTTTATTTATTTCTATTTTTTATGAATGTTTTGCTGACATTGTACTTTAATAAATATTAATAATAAATAATTTCACACAAACATCAACATAGAAGAAAATATGACAGTCTAGTTTTTGGAAATATTTTGTAGTTTAAGGCTTATAAACATAAATTAATTAAATGATGGTTCTGTAAGAATTATTGTAAATGTTCGGTGGTATATTAAATATGATTAAATATGTGTTTATATCTAGTACAATCTAAATATTGACCAGTTTATACTCCCAGCTAACAATATAAAACAAAAGTTTTGACTTTATGATTCATGCTGGATTTAAAAAAAAAAATAATAATCATTTTCTGGAGGCGTCAGAAATTCAAGGATTTAATTTGACATTTTATTCCTACAGCTCAACCCAAAACAACAACAGAATAAAATAAATGAATATAAATTGATGAGCATAATAAATATATATACATTTATATAAATGGTACAAATAAAACCTGACTGTACATGTAAAGTAATATTATAATATTACATTAAGATTAATTTGTTTTTAATAGGCAGACTTAATTATCCAGATCTTTTTAATTTTTTCAAACTTTCTCCAATATTTGACACTACAACATTTTTTATAAATAAATCAAAAAAACATTTTTATAGATGATTAATAAAGGCTGGACAGACTGGAACAAACTCCTCCAGATTATTCAGCTAATTTCTGGTTTCTGTTCCTTTTTCCTTGTCATCATCGTTTCTGCTCTCTCTCTCTCTCTCTCTCTCTCTCTCTCTCTTTCTGTCTCTCTCTCTTTCTCTCTCTCTCTCTCTCTCTCGCTCGTCCCGTCCCAGAGGTCCAGCTGTTCGGTTCTTGGATCGGCGCTGACACACGGATCTTCCTGGAAGCTGAACTCCCTCAGTTCTGATTCTCCAGGGGTCAGAGGTCAGAGATTGGTCAAGTCCATTTTTAAACCTGTCTGCAAACCTTGGCCATGAGACTTGAATCTCCTTAAAGGGCCAGTATCGTGTAAAATCTACGTTTCTGCTCTTTCCATCATGTTAAATGTTTTTCCTGGAGTGTTGCTTTGATTCTTCAATGTTTGAGAAATCCTTTAGTCTCCATGGCAACCATTGAGCTGTCCTAATCGTCTAGGTGGACCTAGCCCCGCCTTCGAGGCGCAGCTCCTCCCCCACTCTGCTCCTTCAGACTAGCCAGCAGCAATTAGCAAACAGCTGCTGAGCTCGTTAAAGGAGCTGCTGCTCAGAGCAACACTGGTGAAAACATTAATGGGTTAACAGAGGAGCCATGTTGGGACGACTTCCTGGAGGCGGAGCTTCAGACAGAGCAGGAGTTCTTAAAGAGACGGAGGCCCAATTTCAAGACGTTCAATCAGGAAGTCAAATTTGATATATACTATTTTTATAACTGAAGGTAAAAAAGTTACTGGATTGTGCTATAAAATGGCCGCCATGTGTCTGGAAAACAGAGTTAAAATTTTATTGGCATTGATTTTATCTGTTTAACCGTGTCATTTAATCCTGTTTTGAATTTTTAATTCATTATTGTGTGCTTAGCTTTTTCACCTTAATTTATGCTTTTGAACATCTTATTTCTTACTGACGCTCAGCTCTTTGTTTCCGTGGCGACGGTGCTTTTTGATCTCAGGTTTATTAGCGTAAAACATTTCAAACCAGTTCAAAGAGTTTAATATCTTAAAAACATCAAACAGTCATGAATTATGAAACAGAAATAAACATTACAGTTTGTCAAATACCATCATCAAAATCACCATGTGTCCTTCTGGTCTTCAGCTGGTTCTGGTTCTGTTCAGTTTCCCGTCCGGACCGCTCGGAGTTTCCAGAAGCTTAAATAACTTTGGAACATTTATGGAAATAAATCAATCATTCCTGCAGGAGCGGCACTAATTTGTCTTCTTTACATTTCCCTCGGAGGACAATCCGTTCCCAACGTGAAACTGGGTGGAGCGGCCCGCAGGGGCCCGCAGGGGCCCGCAGCGGGGAAGGAAACTTCCTGGAGCGGCATGAAGCAGCAGGAGCTGCTGGGGGCAGCGAGGCACTGGGAGCTGTGGGCCGACTGGTTGGTCGGGAGAAAAACCCCAACCAGGAAGCAGCAAACGGGCCTGAAGGCTCCGTCTAATTCAGGGGGTTTCTGCTCGTCTTTATGTGTTTGTTGTTCCAGATGGAAACGGACCGGTTCTGATGGGAACCAGTTAGAACCCAACTGGGGCGCCTCCTTTATGTTTCCATTATTAAAACTCAGAGCGGATTCTGGTTGGAGATAAAACGTTTCATTAAACCTGAAACTTTTTCCTGCTTCTGATGTATGGAAGCCCTGAAGGGCCACAAGAGAAAAAAAACGTTTTTATTTTATTTGGTGTTTTTGATGAGGGG